GTGACTGGAGGAATTTAACTCTAATTGGCAACTGGGTGGCAAATCAAATTCACAAAAACTCTGTCTGAATACATCGCTCTTCTTAATGGGTTCAGCTGACTATTTAATCTGCAATTTCCTATGACCTGTATCCCAAACACACACCATGTGAAACTATGCATGGGCAACTGTGCACTCAATGGGTATGGACTAGTAGAATATAATGCAGTAAGGCATTCAGGCATTCTGTATTGCTTTCAAATATATATCATTTCTCCTGCAGATCAACTTTTCTCAATTAATATTATCTCTGCTGAGTCAACACAAATGTAGGCATAGTTTACATTTCCATCCTCCTTTGTGTCTTTTGTTACTGGTTATGTTTCAGATTCACATTTTAACTCACAAAATGTAACTATTAAAAATATGATGGATTATTATTTAATCAAACATCCAGCATTTTATAAGAATTGAAAGCTCCACCTCAAACAGACTTTAAGTGAATTTAATTAGACTGTGCTAATAATACTTCTGATGACTGCAGGACTTTGACTTTAACCTTTATTAGTTTTACTTGAGGAAAAAGCTTTGAGTCTGTCTTCTACAGCTGCCAATAGCCTACCAACATTCACAGTTTAAGAAAGGGAGAAAATAAAGCAAAGCAGTTTGTCTGAGGCCCCAGGCCCACAAAACACTAAATCCAGCCCTGATGATAATAACACAAGCGCAGCTAAGAGTGGCTGGATGAGACACAGAGCAATGTGTCTGTGTATTTATAGATAATTCCATCTGAAGTCTGATGAAAACCGAAACTAAAACAAAGCACTCTGTAGAAGTCTAAATAAGTAAGTTTTCACTGCTGAACGTCCGTCTGTTAATTCAGACGCTTTGGCGCTGTGAAGAAAAACTCTGCTGTTTGTCTGCCTCTCTCACTGCAGTGGTAGTATCCTCTTCAGAACATCTGACAGACAGAGAGCACTGTTTGAGGCTCTCTCTGGATGGATCAAATTTAAGAGGCTGTGCACTGCTCTTCATCAGAGGTGGAGAACCAAAATTAACTAAAAACACTTCTCATCAGGCATATTAAGGGATTGTCCCATATTGAAAAATAAATACACTGCTCCTTACTTAATCAATACAATATGTGATTTGTTCAGTATTTTGGTGTAACAAACTGTTAAAATGAGTATAATACAAGGTTTGCGATGATTCTGTCCTCCCAAAATATTGGTCCATATGGAAACCTATGCCCTTGGGGATCCTGATAGCAACTGGGATTGTTACTAAACAAATAAGTCAACATGCATGACATGAATACATAGGGAAATAGGAGCCATTTCATCGTCATTATTCAAAAATGAGATTGCATAGATGTGCAAATCAAGATCACAATTTTTATTTATTTTTTTTTTATTTATCGTGCAGCCCTACCGGTCACATCTCTCGCTCATCTGCTCGCTCACCAGTGTTTTTAATTTCACAATAAAAAATATGAATAATTTAAATAATAATGACAAAAGGGTGCAACATAATCATGTGTTGGTGTGACCCACTGAGAAAGTTGTTTGCATCAGTGCCACCAGTGTCAAAAAGTCAGTCTGGAGCCCTGCCTTGCTTCTTTCAGAAAATAAATGAAGGGATACTTTCATTGCAATTGTGGTAAAAATTAAGCAGCAGCACTAAAATAATGCTATGTGTGATAAAAAATGAGACTTCTCTTACCTCTATCACTGTCGTATAGATAGGCAAACTTTTCCCATTTGTAGTACTCCACTAACGAGACTAGCGGCCCCTTGATGTCCGGCCTCATCTGGAGAACAAACTGATTCATTCCTTCTGCTGGGAACGATGGTGTGATGAAGGAGACATGTAGCGTCTCACAGAAGGATGTAATGGTGTTTACCGACTTCTTGTCATAGAAGCCAAAAATGGCGTAGACACCCCGGGAGAACTGGGAACAAACTAGGAGAGAGAGAGAGAGAGAGAGAGAGAGAGAGAGAGAGAGAGAGAAACATTTTGATAAAACATTAAACAGAGAGAGACAAAGAGAGAGGCTTTAACTCAGACACAGGAGGCAGGCAGGATTTAGGTTAAATCCTGAGCAGTGACAAAGGAAGGATGTCCCTGTGCTCAACACCCTGCCATAATACTTACCATCTAAACAACTATGCAGATTATACAGTTGTAATCAATGTTAGGGTCAAATTCATATTAAAATATTTTTAGAGTAGATGTACATTACTTGGGATTAAATCTGTAAATGAATGCTGGGTGCAGGTGTCCATCACCACATCAGAGAGGAGAACGGTGTTAAACAGGTGTTGCAGTGAGTTCAGAAGATCACTTGAATGTTACAGCTAAAAAGTCAGACAGCTGACTCAGTGCCTGCATGGCACCACAGTCACCTGGTTATATTTGTTTTCTTGCCATTCATATTTCCGGCCACTTTAGTTAAAAAAAACACTTTTTTGTAATGTGAAACTACTTCGTTCAGTGTTTTTGCTGGTATAAATCACCTGGTCCATTTGTTTTAAAGAGGAAGAGACTTCTGCAGACAGTCGACTCCTGGTCAAAACCTCCCTAGCAATGAACACTGAAGGATTCCTAACTTGAAGTCTCAGCTGGTTGTAATCTGCAATCCTCACTGCTAAATTTCACTAAATCTCACTAAATCTTACACACTGGAGCTTTAAAACATCAATCAGTTTCTCATTCCTTGAGTAATGTCATTACTCTGTGGGGCAAATGGTGATCATATCACTAGTGATATTTGATTAAAGCAACATTTAAAGTCAAATCTCCAGACCTTTAAATTATGTCACTAAATCCTACACACTAGACTCTAGTATTGTATTATATATGTTGTCAAAAAGAGCTAACATTTGCTGGAATGTCATGTGCTTTTTTATTTAAAGGCTGTACACAGTAAAGTCCTTTGTCTACAGCTATATTTAGTCGTCCTACTTCAATGACCTTGTTCTTACTCTAGAAATAAAAAGTCCAGTTTTATCTCCCTGGGTATGATATTGCAGTTATGTATGTTATATACTGTACTGCAATAATGCATATATTTATGCTCCGTGCTTAAAGACATAAGGTCATGCTTTGAGCTGACAGCCTGATATGAACATGACTCAACCAATCCTTTATAATTCATTGCTCTATTAATAAAAAGTGGAGCTGCACAGATTTTGGAATATGATGTGAATATTAATGTGCACTTAAACAATATCATCCAGGTACAGTCACAGTGCATGTTTCAGATTGGTACTCAGGTCTAATGTCCAATGCCATTTCATTTTTGACATTCCATCTGGCTACAGAAACAGAGAGGACTCGTACTGACCCACACTCATACTATATCCAACTCTGAAGATTGTTATAGTGTGGTCCAAACAGGTATCAGGATTATGGAGAATCCACTGCAAGTGCAGATAAGAGGAAATTAAGAGGTGAATAACTGAAAGAAAAAAAGTGCTCTACTATTGGCTCAAGAATTAGGCCTTTCAGTAGAACTGGACCAATGATTTGGTGATCGAGGAGTACGCTAAATAACTGACTATTTAAGGAGGGCTTGTTTTTCTAGCTTACAAATTTTACCTGTGGTCACATAATAAGGTTAAAATATTTCATGCAACAGATTTCACATGGACAGTAGCTGTAATGTGTTACACCCCTGCGCTGCTGCAAAAAAGCAAAGCAATTGCTGCTCCACTGTAACACATTACTGCTACTGATTGTAATCAGCATTTATAACTTGTTCTACCTTCTATAATCTACAGTATCTATATACTGACACCAAAAACCACCTTTCATGGCGGTATGATACACCGCCAGGTGGCATCAGTTGGTTATGTGGTTGAACAGAGCCCTTCAAAGTGTTATGATATGCCGCCTGTCCGTTAGATGGCACCTGCCGTGGCAGTATGATACACCACTGGACAGTGTCAGGTTGAAATGCTGCCAGTAACGACGTAATATAAGGAGCAGGGTGGGAGGGGTGGAGGATGAATCCACCAAACCTAAACTTTTAATCCAGGAAGCCAATGTCGGCTTCCAGTAGAGCCAAACCATGATGTTTTTTTGTTAACCTAACCACTAATCATGTGCTTTTGTTGACGTCCAGACATTGGCAGCAGCATCCCAGAATGTCTACAGCAGACAAAGAAGGATACCTAGCTGAATTGTTTTGAAAAATTAGGGCAATTTTTTAGCCTCTAGTTTATATACCAGTATATATCTCCGTTCAGCACAACTGCAGGGAGGGCAATGTCAGTCACTCTTTTTGACCTCTACTTTGATCCAGACTGTCTACTGGATGGATTGCAATTAAATTTAGGAAAAATATTCAAGGGGATTACCCCTCATCACTCAGGTTAAACATTCAGTTTACCCAATATTTTAGTTTATGACTAAATAACTGCAAACTGCAATGAATAAATGACATTCACATCAGGCTCAGCAGTACATTGTGTAGTGCTATTAGGCAAATGGCAGCATGCTAATATGCTAAAGAAAATGATGAACAAATCACCACCATTCAAAACACCACTGTGCCAAAGTCCAGACTCACTGACCTGCTGGCAGGGCTGTAGACTTTTTATTTTTGTGAACAATGCAGCATGGCCCCAATACACAGTCAAGTGTGCCTTGTCAAGTGTGATGGAGGCACACCAAGGAACATATGGCAATGTTTTGGCCAGGCTAACCTAGGGGGCCCCTGTGACATGCTTGGATACAAGGTGGGGTCATAAAAAACACATTATCATACAATATTTGTAGGTGGGTGTGATTGAGACTGTGATAATCATGGCCACATTTATGATTTTCATCCCCCTTAAACACAAGATTATCCCCATTATAGTACACTGACAGTTTTGAGAATCACATGGAGTAGTGATGTGTGGGTTGACCTTTGGATCGGACAGGTAAATTTACTGGAAAAAATCACTGGCTCAAGCTGGCAAATCAACAAAGTAACAAAGCAGCACTCCAAGTAAGTTATAAATAACTTATTGTGTGTAACAGTCCACCTTCCACCATCTCTTCCTGCCTCTCCTCCTCTCAGTCAACACACACACACACTGCAGCGCTCTGTCCGTGACAACTGTGCTACTATAATGCATAAAATTGGCAGTTCACAGACCGGTTCATGTTCAGGTGGTTGATAAATGCATATTTCTGCTGGTTGGGCAGTGTGATTGGCTCTCATTTTGGGGGTAGGCGCAGGTATATCACCCGCAAGTTTCCCTTTGTGGAAACGTATTATTACACAGAATGTGAAGAGTTCCACGTATGAGTGTATAATGTATGAATAAACAGCAGCTCAAATATACTTCCAATAGAAGATGATGGCTGAATTTACTTTTCTGCACATTTTAAAGATCCGACAGTCAGCATGTTTTCTATGTGTAATAGTGTGTGAATTACTTGGCATTCAATTGTTCCACACAATAACCATCTGCAGTTAAACACCACTGTAGTACCATAAATAAAATTAGAATTGACAATGTGGCCGAGCATATGGTGTGTTGTATTTTTATTTCAATCCTGTAACAAATAGTTGCCTGTTAAATCCACATTGCAGTCTTCATTGTGACATAAACTGGCAGTTATACTGCAGTCATGCTGGTAATGATCCAAAAATAAACTTGGATTTTTGAAAAACACTTTTGTTTAAAAATGCAGAGCCAGGCAACACTTTAGCCAGACTCAAGGGAAGATAACAAGCAATCATTTCCACCAGTAACAGTTGGCTTTTGATGGAGACACCAGAGAGGACTGGTAGGAACGGATGGTCTTGAGGGAGTTATTAGTGGAGAGTGGTGCTTTAAATGACCACAATTTGTCATGGGCCTGTATGAACTGTACTCAATGTGTAAATCTCCAAAATTGATTTACATTACAGCAGAAACTGTATACAGTGATCACATATGTGCAGAGGTTTAATCAGTGGATCTGCTGAGTGTAATCGTGGCTTGACTGTGCACTAACTCAACCTGTAGCCCTCAGGTGGCTGTAAATAATGTCATGAAAGTGGAGGAAAGGCTAACAGTGTAGGCTACTGGCTGTTGTGGATATGTGATGCTTGTAAGAATCACTTATCTATCTTTCTTCTGTCTCACTGCCGTTGTTAGTTGAGGAGTGTAGAAGAGGAAAAACAAGCAAAACATATAAACAATCATTGTGTGATTTCAATGAGGTTTATACGGGTGTGCCTTCACCAAAGGAAGTGACAAACATATTATGATTATGGAACATGCACAGCTTTACTAAAGTGTCAAAGTACATAATTAGAAGCTCATTTTATGTAACTGCTGTACGCAATGTTATTTCTTTGGAAATTTATGAAAAAATTGAACCTGTAACATGCAAGAATTCATTTTTAGAGCGATAGACAGCAGAAAAAAGAAGACTGCATGCACTCAATGCCATCACAATACTCTGTACTTAAATAGCAGAGCTTTGAGCCTCAGGCCATCGTTACGTCAGGCTCTGATGAAGGCAGAGTATACTGCATGCATCGAGTCCTCATTCCCATTGCCTCTACTCTTTGCTTCGCAGTTACTGAATTTGAAATGTGACATGAGTCTATACTTTCCAAGTTACAAATTATTTAAAAAAATAAAAGAATAACTGTTTTGTGGATACATTTATTGCAGTATTTTCATGTCATGGTCTATGGCTTGGGTACATTTCACGAAAACATATGTTTGTCAGCATCAGGCTTCAGGAGCTTTCACCAGGGAATTTCTTTTGTCTAGCCCCCAAATCTTCCTGACAGACAAAAAAAACGCTCTAATTATTAGGAAATGTAGGTTAAATAATTTAATTCCTGACCACCCCGACATTTGTTGTTGTCTGTGGGTGTGCATGTGTGTGAAGAAAGACTGAGGGAGTGGGCAGGGCTAGGTAACGTTCTCATGTATACAAGATCACTCAGTCCATCTGCAACCCTCTTTTGACATGGATGCATGGCATCCAATGCTGCTTCTGCTCCATAATGTATGTTAACTTGCCACTGTAGGAACAGTGGTTACATAACCTTCAAAATGAACCACAACTTGACCATGCACATGCACATATTTGTGTGTGTCACAGGTGTGCTCCAGTTCTTAAACAAATAGCAATGCATCCCTGATGCCAAATTTGAACAAATTCATATTCAAAGTTTAAGAAATTCCTTTAAGGTATCACATTCACAAGAAAGGTACAGATGGACAGACAGACGGACAGACAACCTGAAAACATGGTGCCTCCAGCCACAGCTGTTGCCAGCACAGAGGCATAAAATACAGAATAACACCAGACCAAATATCGATATTGATAGCAACCTGAAAAAATACAGTAAGCTGGTCAGGCTCTTTACTTGTGACATTTTTAATGCCTCAGAAACATAGAGCTTGCAGGAATTATCTGCTACAGTAATGGCATCTGTAGTTTATCAGGCTGTCTTCTGAAAAAGATAAGAAACCCATACTTACAGCAGTTGGTGACAGCGAAGCTGTTGGCCACCTCCAGATTATCTATGTGTGGAGTCAGTCTGAAATCTGCCATCCCAAACTGAACCATGCCAACTCTGAATGCACTGTACTCCTGATCTGCACCCCTGGGGAATAAACCACCTGAGACAGACACACAGACAGGACGATGGTCAGAGAGACAAGCCATCTATACATGATCTGTTATATAAACAGGATTACACAGTTTTCACTGTGTCACTGTCTCTCTGTCTTTTCTTTTCCCAAACTCAGCGCCACAATCAGTAACAGCATTTCAATTTTAACACCAAGGAGTTTTTATGTGCTCCAAAAAACATGACCAAATTAGTGTACAATGGTAGTTGTAGTCGTACAGTATGATGCACTTTACTGCAGAATTGGACGAGGAAACACAACAAAAACAGAATGACAATGGATGGAAGAAATGCAGAGGAACATGCAGTGGGGGGACTGGAAACAGTCAGGGAAAATGGATAAATAATCACAGAGCACATTCAGTGTCCACAAAGACACCACAGCTCAAGGCTAGATTACTAAGCTACTGAAAGGGATATGATCGCATCAGAGTCCTTGCGGGGCTTCTGGGCAAGAAAAGTTAGTTTCTCGCATGCAGAGACTTATTGAAAGTTTGTAACATTATGTCGTATTCATCATCGTCGAGCCAAGAGTTAACTCCTATAGTGTCCAGTATGTCAGATTTTTTTCATCAGTCCTGTTCAGCGCTTCTTACCAACATTAACAACTTCAGAACAAGCATTTGTGGATCCAGATTTTATTTGTAAATCAGAAAGGTGTTTGTGGATCTTAATTCTAGACTTGCATTTTACACACATACCATTTTGGGACGTACTTTCTGCCAGTCTGAACAAAAATCCAAAATCAAAATGTCAGTATGACGACAGAAAGATGGACTCCTATGTCAGACAGACGTTACATTTTGGAATAAGAATCAGTTTGACAATATTTTAAATTCCCATGTTAGAATTTTAAGTTGTGTGGACATTAACATGATGTTTTGCAGATATTGGGTTTTGGGCATATATGGGTTCTCCATACCTTTAGACTAGAGGCGTTATTCTCTGCCAAGATGATGTTGGCATATGTTTGGAAGACGTTGGACTTTGGCTACTTAACAACACAACCTAAAACCCACAAAATATCAACGTTGCCTGTTGTCAGTATTCTACATCAAATTAAAATTGGCATTAGATGTTCTGACATAAAATTTTGGTCACCCAGTGTCACAACCTAAATTCAACCTAATATCAATGTCTGACGAGGTGGAGGCCAACTGGGGTGTAGAAGTCATCAGAAGAAAACCTTTCCTGTGTCCTCACCACAAAATTTAGCATCAGAAGTTTGCAAAGGAAAATCTAAACAAGCCGTTTTGGAATCAGTCCTATGGACAGATGGTGTTAAAATAGAACTTTTTGGATGCAATCAGTATGTTGGAGTATGTTTGGTATAAAATTGCAGACTTTCATAAAAAGAACACCTGTCCAACAGCTATACACAGGGGTGGATCGATCATGCTTTGGGCTTGTGTTGCAGCCAGTGGCACAGGGAACATTTCACAGGTAGAGGGAAGAATGCATTTAGTTATACTCCAGCAAATTCTGGAATCAAACATCACACCATCTGTAAAAAAGCAGATGTCTTCTACAACAGGACAATGATCCTAAATACACCTCAAAATCCACAATGGACTACCTCAAGAGGTGCAAGCTGAAGGTTTTGCCATGGCTCTCACAGTCCCCAGACCTAAACAACATTGAAAATCTGTGCATGGACCTCAAAAAAGCAGTGCATGCAAGACAGCCCAAGAATCTCACAGAGCTAGAAGACTTTTGTAGAAAGAATGGGTGAAAATCCTCCAAACAAGAATTGAAAGACTCATAGCTGGTTAGAAAAAGCGTTAATAGCTGCGATACTTGCCAAACAGGGCCCTACTAAGTACTGACCGTGCAGGGTGCCCAAACTTTTGCTTCAGGCCCTTTTTCTTATTTTGTTATTTTAAAACTGTAAAAGATTTAAATAAAAAAAGAAGAAGAAAGAAGAAATGTTTCATCTTTAACTTCATTCCTTTTGGAGATCAGTACCATGGTCACTTCAGCAATCCCTGAGTTTGTCTCTGTCTTCTCCTTCTGACAGAGCCAGACTCACTGTTTAATTTCCTCATTGATTCAGTCCGTATCAAAGGACATATCAAAGTGCATTAATTAGTGGAGGTTTACTGTATGTTCGAATCAAAATCCTGGTTGCATATTAGTTTGTCACTCAAGACTATCCAAAGTTAACGCTTTTATCTGCTGTCAGTCATTTCTTTGATAGCATATGTTGCCCTCACATTCATTATCAGGCAGCATCGAGTCACCCCAAATCTCTATAAATAGATATCTGCATATGTAAGCTTTATCGTCATCAAAGGATAGCCGATGGGTTCCAAGATTGACTCACCCCCAGCTCTGAATAAAACATCTGCATATCCTTACTTTTGCAGGTGAAAGTTTTTATTGTTTTTTTTGGGGGGTTTTTTCAGGTTACACTGTGAGTCTACGCAAGACAGCTGTCAGTTTGTTCGAGCACTTCAACTAAAATGTTTATTGCACATAATGTGTAATCTTAGTTTAAATAGTAAAAATTGGTATGAATGAATAAGCATCTCTTTCAGTCATGATGTGAATGGTTGGAACATACTCAGAGGAAAAGAAGTTTCAGAATAAGATGTCTTCTTTGTCCAGCCTATTTCTGAGCTCAGTATAAAATCAGTATCAGATTTTGACCATTTTCTCATACTTCTTTAATTCAGCTATTTAGAAATAATCTTCCTCTTGTCTCAGCCAAATCCCAATTTAAGATCTTAAAATGCTCTCATTCCTTTCTCACTGCAGTCATCTTTATTTGTCTGAAAAATCCAGCTCTTGACATAACAATAAGATCAGAAATTTGTCTCTAATCAGTGATCAAATGCAAGTCTCAACTCCTTGTTTCTCCTAAGGGGGTGGGGTTATGAGAAATGGATCAGAATTTAGTGATCTCAACATAAGAAGCTGATTTATTTCTGACAAGACAAAGAAAACACTATTGTAAGCAGCAAATTTCCCTTTGGGCAATATCTATTTTACTGTAGTTTATATGTTAATATTTTGGAGTGAGCAGGATTGTGGTGTAGCCGCAGAATGTTAAGTGCCTTTTTAAAAAATAGGCTGTGCATAGTCTGAGTGTGTTTAACAACATTTCAGTGACAATGGTTAAATTTACTACATTTGTTGAAGTGGGTGAAACTAGAATTACTGCCCCGTGGTTGTATGCCTCTACCAACCAGTCACATCTGTGAAAACATGGTTGCTTCACATATCTTCCCCCAGCAGTTCAGAAGGTCTATACAATCAGCACAGTGTCAAGGTGGACACCTAAGATTAGTGTCATCAATTCAGCATCTGACCAAATCTTTCCTCTTTTATGTCTTTTTTCTCTCTTATTGTAAATCTGTATCCTTTATTATGTATGCTTTATATCATATTGCTCTGTAAAGCACTTTGAATTGTCCTGGTGTATGAAATGTGCTGTACAAATAAAGCTGCCTTGCCTTCTGTTCCTGACTTATGGTGTTTAATAATGGCCTCCTGGCCATTATTAAACACTGTGTTTTTGCAGGACATTATGATGTCACAGCGAAGTTGAACTTTGACGTTTTGGATATGAAATGTCATCACGTCTTCTTTTTATCCTATTAGACATTTTTGTGAAATTTTGTCATAATTAGCATTTGAATTCCTGAATTATGGCCAAAAACATGTTTTTTGAGGTCTCACTGACCTAGACCTTTGTCCATCAACTACCAAATTCTAAATGGTTCATTCTTGAGTCCAAGTGTGGAAAATACGAGAATTTGAGTTTGAGGAAATTCCCTACAACCTTCTTGACATATCACATTCACAAAATGAGACGCATGTAAGGTCACAGTGACCTTTGACCACCAAATTCAGATCATCCTGAAGTCCAAGCGGATATTTGTGCCAAATTTGAGTAAAATTCCCTCAGGCTTTCTTGAGATATCATGTTCACAAGTATGAGACAGATTAGGTCACAAGGACCTTGATCTTTAACCTATGACTACCAAATTTCAGTTCATTCTGGAGTCCAAGTGGACATTTGTGCCAAATTTGAAGACATTCCCTCAACATGATCTTGAGATGCCGTGTTCATCAGAATGGGTCGCACATACAAACGTACATAAGGCCAGACAGACAACCCGAAAACATAATGCCTCCAGCCTCAGCTATCGCCGACATGGAGGTACAGTAAAACCACTGAGATCCAGATAGATTCCTAAAATTTATTCTATAGTATTTTAACCTCCACACCTTTACCGTAAATCACCAAACACATTATTACTAGATCAGATTGTGAGCTTATAATCAAGCATTTGTCTTTGATATAAATATACTTGTAAATCTTCAACTATATTTTTCATCTTCTCATGCTGGCCCCTGAGTTTTTCCCCTTCAGATTAAAGCTGAACAAATATATTTAAAACGTTACATGGGCTATGCCCTCAATGATGAATTAATGGACTACACTGATTAAAACTTTATTGTGTTATCTTATTGACTCACTAAATTTCTGTTTGAGTATGAGAAGTACAAGTGTAGGCAACTTTAAGATCCCTATATAGGGGCTTATTTGCTCATTTGGTACAGTAGTTATCTAGCCACTGAGGGACAGCCTTATCCTTAATTATAAAAACCCTAATGCTTTTGTCCTGTTTCATTTGTCTTATTATTTTTCTTCAAAAATGTTTTCACAGATTCCCATGAGATGGTAAATTAAAGGGGTATAAGGAAAAAATTGATACAGCATAGTATTATAGTATTTTCATGTGGCAATATCATATCACCACACAGTGCTGAGTGTCAATTTTTTATCATGTAAATTATTAATGACAAATATAAATTAAAGTTTAGGTAGCCTACTCGAATAATATGATCAATTGTCTGAAGTTAGAAAAGGGCTGAAGTTAGATGAACAGACTCAAAACTTTATCTTATTAGATAAAACAGATGTTGGCAGTTTTCCTCTGAGGACGTAATTTACACGTGAGAAAAGGTAATAAATAGTAA